CTGAGGTGGCTCGGGCATCTGTTTCGGATGCCTCCTGGGCACCTTCCTAGGGAGGTGTTCCGGGCATGTCCCACCGGGAGGAGGCCCCGGGGAAGACCCAGGACACGCTGGAGGGACTATGTCTCTCGGCTGGCCTGGGAACGCCTCGGCATGTCCCCGGAGGAGCTGGAGGAAGTGTCTGGAGAGAGGGAGGTCTGGGCATCTTTGCTTAGACTGCTGCCCCCGCGACCCGGCCCCGGATAAGCGGAAGAAAATGGATGGATGGATGGATGGATAGTTCTCTGACATCTGCTTCTTTGTTCTTTTTTGTTTTTATGATGGTGGGTCTCCTTCTTTGGCTGTGACACTTCCTGATGTTCCCAATTAGAATGCAATAATACAGACTGCCAGATGGCCAGATTGGGAGCAGAGTAGTGCTCTCCTGGACTTGTTTCTGAACAGGGCCATATATCATATTTTCAGCACGGCCACAGTCTGCTTGGAACACAATGGAAACACACAACCCCAGTACAGTATGGGTATGCAACTGTCTCTGGTGGCAGTGGAATGATGGTGTTCTTCCCTCTGAGTGCACTTGGGAAAGTTTAATGTGGTTTTATGTGCTGCAGTGCCCCCTTTTGGTCATACAGTAGCAGTAATCTTTGAGTTGAAAATTTCCAGAGTTAATGGTATCTAATGTGACTGCTTCTCCTGCTATGAATATTCTCAACATTTTTGCCTTGGGCACTATTCATTCATGAGTATTAGTTTTATTGTCTTTTACATGTTATGAGCAAAAAACCATTGTTGTGCTTTTGTTTATTGGAAATAGAGTGACTTTCATCAGAGCTGTGAGCTTGTATTTAGCACTGCTAGCTATTTGACTTGGTAGTGTCATTGTTTGGGTCTGACACAAACTAAATTGATTCAGGCAAATCATCCCAGATTAAATAATCATTTCTTCTTCTTCTTCTTCTTCTTCTTCTTCTTCTTTCGGCTGTTCCTGTTAGGGGTCGCCACAGGGAATCATTTGTTTCCACCTAACTCTATCCTCAGCATCCTCTACTCTCACCCCAATTAACTTCATGTCCTCTTTTAGCACATCCATATATCTCCTCTTTGGCCTTCCTCTTGACCTCTTGCCTGGCAGCTCCATCTCCAACATCCTTCTACCAATATAACCACTATCC